ACTGGCATAATGACTGAAATCTCAAATGGGTCTCTGAAAGAATTTCCGCCCTAGGAAATTTCAATTATCAAGCCTGTCCGCCCATTTACTTTCTGTTTATAAGTTGCCAGAATAATCGCATATCACATTCTGCTGCATTATTCAATTCATCTCACACACTAAAATAGCTTTCTTGTGGGAGGGGGGAGGGGGAGTTGTATTTCTAGCACCTTCTGGCGGCCATCCATTATTTGCGTTTTTCTCTTTGCAAAGAATGGGCATTTTAACCTCTTTTGTCCAATAAGGCTTTTAATGAGTATAACGTTTTGAGGATGGCAGCGTTTTTATTGAGGTTACAATATGGTCATAAAGGCTATTGGAATGCCTGTCAATACCGCCAATGTAATATCGCCGAGTGTGACGAGATTTTACACTTCCAAAGAAAGTATTATTTTGAGCATGCTGTTTAATTGCACGACTGCATGACTTTTGCATCTGTGTTCTTTGTGCTTTGCTTTGTTACACGATTAATATTTACGCTTCTGACTTGTTTGTTCTCGTCTTATGCGTGTTCCTCGTTTTTTTGTAACAAAGAAGAAGCAGTTTGTTCCGTGTTATAGTCCAATGCACTTGTTTTGGGAGACATTTCTCGATTGCCTAATCATGCTATGACAATTTACATGGAATTACTACCAATTAATTGAATAAAAAAATGACAAGTAAAATGAAGAAACGTTATGCTTGATATGTTTGTTTAATAAATGTTTATGAAATAAATAAATATATTGAAAAATAAAAATAAAATGGTATTAATAAATAAATAGAAAAAAAACTTAAAAAACTTTATAAATAAACAAACATATATATAATACAGAAAAAATGAAGAAGAAAATTGCATTATCACATTATCATTGATGTAAACATTGTTATATTAACAAGTCTGAATATCTTGGGAACATTTACATATAAAAACTTCTGTCTTGGACTGTAAACGTTTAAAATATCAAAAAATCAAATATTAATATCATTTATCAAAGACAAACATGTCGGGTATTGTGATAGTAACAATATTTGTGCTACTGTATAACAATGATTTCCAATTTGAATGGCCAAAGTCCTATCTAGTTTCCATGTGGACATATTGAGCGTTTACCAGTGTCTTATGGCGTAGACTGTACCTGTCAAACTAGCGCCACAAGTCTGACTGCTATCTCCTCCGCATGCGTGATTACATGATGTATCTGCATACTTTCCGTGTGGGTTCAACTGATGGCCACAGTCACAAGAAGTCCCAGCCTGTAACATAAACGTTGTACAGGTTAACTCGACTACATTACAACTATGTGTTATACAATTTTCCATTCGGTCAGAGCATTTGCATTGTGTAAGATCGTGTACTTTACTGTGATCTGTTTCACAGGTCCACGGCCCATAGCTAGATAGCTAACAAGTAAACCTTCAGGCCCCAACATACCCACGCCCTCCCCCAAAATCTACAACAAATGAAATTAATATTAATAAAGTTTCAAGAGAAATAATAGCAGTAAAACGTTTTTACCTCAGTTAAAGCGTAGGTACGACCTTCAGTAAAACATCTCTTTATGCACATCTCTGTTGTCATGGTATTGTTAAATATTTCCATATCTTCTAGAATCCTTGGAGGGTAGTCGTCATAACAACCTACATATCCTATATACCAACAGAAAAGACGTAAATATTAACATAGTTTTTTACTTTAATTCTATCGTGTTGTATATCGCCAAAATTAAACAAGTACATTTGTATGAGCTACTTGCTTCACTGAAATATCTTGTGGTGAAAGTACAAAGACAACACACAGCCAAATTGGTTTAAACAATATTTATTTCTTCTTCAATATTTACAGACAAAATTACAATATATAAATTGCATTCAGGATTGAGAAGAAAGCTTAAAGCTTATATGAAACTCTTTCCTGTAAACAAATTCAACAATTTATTTTAGAAACAATATAATATAGTTTTTGTTATAACAGTATATTGTACCTGTATTTAATTCTTTCCATATATTCACAAGAAGATGATAAATAACTACTACGCATGACGTAATTTTTAAAGGATCACAAAGAGGAGCTGAACATGTCAAATGTGTAAGATGAAATGTCTATATCAAATTTAAATAATTTCACGACATGGGAGAAAGGGAGATAAAAGAATAAAAAGGAGGAGACAGAAAGTGGAGTAAGGTGTCATTTTGATATAATGGAAAGTGTAGGTCCTGTTTAAAATAAATCTTTTATTAACCAAGTATGGCATCGATTTTCTATTTTAAGCACAAAGATATACAATATATTCTAAATACCAGAGTAATATGATCTATTCAGTTAACATTTCAAATTCATATGTATGCATTGTGAAAACATCTGCATGCATAACCTAGTTCAGAATTGTTGCAATAATGAATTATTATTTTTTTGCAAAACTAGAATATTCAGGTCGGTTAGAAACAGTTATCTCTAAATGCTCTCTCGTCGACCTGAACTTAACCAGAGCACGAACTGGGACCTAGAAGCTCCAATTAGGTCTTCCTGTGACGACAGGTGTCCCAGCTCGTGCTAGGTGCACTCCTGAACCTCGGTACCCCGACTTCACGATAGCTATATGCGCAGGTGTCAGAGGTAACAGTTACCACAATCTTACAGCAATCTTAACACCACAAATTGCAGATGAAAGTTTGTTTATAGGTGAACACAAGTTTTCAGTTTTCGATTATCCGTGCCCTCACAATCCTTAAAAAAATTGCTAGATAAAATCCAATTTGAAGGTAATACATAGAGAATCATTACATTTATATAAAATCGCATAGATCAATAAAATCATGACACTATTGTACAGCTATGTTTGTGAAAACAGTAAATGGAGGAGAGACCCTTTGCTGAATATCTTTAGCTCATGCTTTACATGACTTTGTTATATATTTGTGTCCGCTATAAAATATTCTAAAACTTTTGAAATACATGTATAGAATAGCAGGAAATACACTGTAATCCTTAAGAACAACTATCAAAGAAATTTTATTTATTTGTGGAGTGCATGTCAATCATCATAGCTTAAATAAAAGAAAATAACTTACGATATCTTGATTCGTACAACGAGCCAATCCATTCTTCCAGTCCCGCATCATCTCCATTTATATCGTAAGCTATACGGCATAGAGAACATTCCTGTGTATTTGGTTGATGAAAGTAACTTTGAAAATCATCGTTCACAAAGCAAGTACTAGCACAATGTGCTAGAGTCGGAATATGTGAGTTGACAGAGATTCTTTCATCTATTGCACACCTATAACCATCGTAATCTGAGCTGCTTCTAGGAACTGAATTAAAGTAAAATGAAAGAAAACATAAAAATTAATTTTATGACGTTTTCCCCATTTAATGTATTTTTTCTGTTTAAAAATCAAAGATATGTACAATTGTATTACAACATTTTCAAAATATTTTTGTAACATTCAAACAAAATATAATTATTAAACATAAATATTGAAGACGTGTGGGATTTGAAACGTCGGTTTACGTCAATAAAGAATAATGATCTTGCACTAACTGTTTGTTCCACTTGATTACTATTTTATTATACAATTAAACTGTATAATTAAAATCAAAGTGGTGACCACTGAAATATGATAAGCAGGCAATAACATAAACCCATGAGCCACGCAGATAATTTTAAATTTATCTCTGCTTATGCTGCGTATAATAAGTTAATTTTTTTTTGTTCATCTTATTCTCGCATCGGTTAGTATTATAAGTTTAATACCAGCTCAGGAATATTTATGTATTGTCCAGAACAGGGAAAGAGCAGTCTAGATCGAACTCGTTTGCCATAGGGAAAATATAAACAAACACATGTGTTGAATGAAAAAGGGCATTTATTGAAAATGCCATAACTGACATTAATTAAAACTATTACATATAAAACATGTTATAATAATTTTTATTTGATACAAGAGAACATAATAAAGTAATAAAAAGAAAGGTACAACTATTCTAACATATGTAGAGATACAATAAAATTAATGATATAGTAAAGAAACATACTAGTACAAGGAAAAAATAGGTGCTACAATTCTACTAACAGGCATAAAGATATGTAACAATTACAAGAAAATGTAATATTAACAAAAACCAATGTTATCTATTATGAAAGTAAGTTAACCAGAGCTGGGTAACTGTTAAAAAGGTGGCGGACTTAGGGGAGGTGGTGGAATTTCGTTGAAAAAATTGGCGAGAACTTCTCTTTCGCCATAAAATATTCGCTATGAAAGCTTACGAGCCCTGATTGGTTCGAAAGCATCACGTGATCTTAAGTCACGACCTCATTGGCTAAAAAGTTAATTTATGTAGAAAGCTAAAAACTGATGTTGACCGTAACAATTCAGTAATAGGGAAAATTTGTAATCAAGAGAAAAAGGGGGCCAACGACATAAATTATTTTATGTGTTCATAAAATCTTATTTATGTATTGTCCAGAACAGGGAAAGAGCAGTCTAGATCGAACTCGTTTGCCATAGGGAAAATATAAACAAACACATGTGTTGAATGAAAAAGGGCATTTATTGAAAATGCCATAACTGACATTAATTAAAACTATTACATATAAAACATGTTATAATAATTTTCCAAATGGTAAAACTGGGAGGTTACAAAACCGCCAAAAGGGAACCGCCGCCCAGAGAGACTAGACTGTAAGAGTGCCGCTTAGATGTTACAAGATTCTATAAAATTATCAAAAAATTGTTGAAATGAGAACATGTACACCAAATTATAAGAAAATTGTAAATATGTCCCGTAATTACAAACATGTGGTAAGATTAACAGCATGTATATATAAAATGAACATATTTAAGTTGAAATGAATATGTACACCAAATGTCGAATGAATTGTAGCCTTAAACCGTCAGTTGACAGATAAGTAGCAAGATCAACAGCAAGTAGATAACACAAGTTACCTTCAAGTAAGAAGACTCTATAATGTAACAAAATAATGGTGATATAATAATATAAACTCCAAATGATATGAGACCATGTAAATCGCAGCCTGAAACTGTCAGTTTACAAATATGTGGCAAGATCACATCCTAGATATAACAAACAATACTGTGGTAAAATGCAATGTAATGTCATCACCTTTTGGCAATATGTTTTAACTGCAGCCTTATACTGTCAGTAGTTTATCCTAACACAGATAATAAAACATATGCATTTAAAGGGTATAAGCAGTGACTTGAAATCATAGAATCACTAGATACCGTCATTCAATAAAAACAGATGTATACACTGTGACTGCAATCATCTTTAAAAGTATATAAACAGTAGGAAGCATAGCACTAACAATATTGTTACAATATGTACATATATTCTAAAACAAATAACAATTGAGATCCTAATTGGTGAGCGCGGTAAAATACATTTTTTATACCGCAAAACACATAACCTGCGGCCTTAAACCGTCAGGTATGCAGCATAAAGACAAGTATTATACTATGACTAGGTTAAGAAATGGCAAAACTTTTATGATTGTCATTAATATACACATGAACAAACTGCGGCCTAGAACCGTCAGAAAAATAGATCAGAATGTTGTTACAATATGTACATATATTCTAAAACAAATATCAAACTGAGATCCTAATTGATGAGGTAAAATACAAATTTGATACCTCAAAAATGCATAACCTGCGGCCTTATACCGTCAGGCATAAAGCATAAATACAAATATTAACTATGACTAGATTAAGACATGGCAAAAATTGTATGATTGCAATTAGGATACATATGAACAAACTGCGGCCTAGAACCGTCAGAAAAATAGTCCATACTATAACTGCAGCCTTACACTGTCAGTTGTTATAAAATTACTGTAATGGCATTCAGTTTGTCTGAGACTAAGACGTGTTATACCCAATGAATTCATTTGATCTGCTGCCTTATACCGACAGATCATGAAACATGTAGGAATTTCCAATATGTCTATACTAGACATGTTTATGAATTGGTAAAAGCGGACAAAAGGAATTCCGATACAAATTAATTACGTGTGTGAATAGGAAGAGCCGAGGGACGGATATATTTAATGTATGCTGTGGATTTCCATCGGCCAAGTTTTTTAATTTGTGAAGCTGGCATTTGTGACATATGAGCATGGGTCGCACCTCCAATACGGAAAGAGTGTGCTGTATACAGTTTTGGGTCCATCTTGTTATGAAGAACACAAGACCGTAATACTGTACGGAAGAATGTAGTAGTGACCGGTGCACCGTCAATGTGCCGGAATAGTTGACCATGGCCTTGAGAAGATAATCGTAAATACCGTAACAGAGCGCGTACTGGACATATACTTTTGTTTTGTTGACGTGCAATGGGAATTACTGATACCTGACCATTTGAGTGTTTGTAGTTCCTTATAGTGAGAGATATGTAGGAAACCTTTCCATGTTTACTTTGGAAAGTTATATCTTCCCGTTGTAGTACATTTTGGAAACCTGTCACTGAATAGGCTAGTTCCCCAACCCGAAAGAGACCAAAAAATGCTAATAAAAACATTGCTCGCATAAGAATATGTGTGAAATTGTCAGAAACCGTAGAAACAAGTGACGTGACAATTTTCTGTACAGCATCGACAGTGAATGGTCGACGTTTATCTGAATGTGTTGTACGTCTGATACTGTGTATCAGCTTCTTGATAACAAAGCTTTCGGATGGGGAAACCATATTATGTAATGTGTGTATATAGCTTATAGCTGAAGTATATGAGATGATTGTTGAAGCTTTTAGGTTGCGGTTCACACAAACCACTATAAATTGTGCAAGTTGTTCTGTAGAAACCGGTAAAAGGGGGATACTCGGATAGTATGTATCATGGAAATTCCTGAAATGTTTCAATGCATTTTTGTACCCACATTTAGTAGATGGCGCTAAAGATGAGTCTAGTAGACGCCATACTGCCTTGTTGAACGGAGCATGAGAAGGTCTTGGGGAATTAATGTAGAAGTTTTGTCCATGTGAGGTGCCAGAGCTTGAAATTTCTTGATCTGTAAACGAGAAAGGAGGTCGGGTAATATATTGTATTTTCCAGGAATATGTTCCGCCCGCAAGAGTATATTAAATTTCATACTAGCTAAAACCAGACGGCGTACAAGGCACATAACCACTGGTACTTTGCAGGTTTGTTTATTAATGATGTGAACTACAGCATGATTGTCAGTATGGAGAACAATGCATTGATTTTTCATATTACAACCCCATTCTTTGAATGTGATATCATAAGTTAACCAAATCTTTGGCCACGTTCCGTAAAACCAATGTGAATGCAAGATTGCACCATAGCCTAGTGAACCTGAGGCATCAGTGTGTAGATTAACGTATCCGAGGTAACCCAACGCTTGTGCAGAAGCAAATTTTTGCCATTAAAATGTTTAACAAATAATAACCATGCCTGTAGGTCTTTGCGACTTTCCCTATTCAATGTGATCCTATGGTGGGATTTTGAAACCTTCTTGGTAAGATCAATGAGGCGGCGTAAAAATGCACGCCCAGGTGTAACAACTTGACAGCAGAAATTTAACAGCCCCAAGAGTGATTGTAACTCTTTTAAGGTAACTTTACGGCGTTTCGCCATTGCTGAAAGTTGTTCTTGTAATTTATTCAACTTGTCTTGAGGTAATCGAGCTTGCATTAAATTGGAATCTAGTTCCAGACCCATGAATGAGATAACAGTTCTAGCATTTTCAGTTTTTTCCTTTTTAATTGGAACACCTACGTCAGAGCAAAGACGGAGAAACTTGTTTAAATCATTTTGACAAGCTGAAGATTCTGGTGGTCCCAAGATCAAGAAATCATCTAGAATGTGAATCATGTAATGAATTTTTAAAACTTTTTTAGCGATATATTGCAAACCGGAGCTAAAACGTTCAAAGATGGCACAAGACGAAGATGCCCCCATAGGTAGACAAGTATCAAAATAAAAATGTCCTAAAAATTTAAAGCCCAATAAATGATGGTCATCTGGGTGAATGGGAATCAAACGGAAAGCTGAATCAATATCGGTTTTGCTAAACAAGGTCCCTGGACCTAAATCCAGCAATAATTGAACTGGGTCATCGAATGTACAATAGTTGACAGAAGAAAAATTTGAATCAATATAGTCATTGACTGAATTGCCATGAGGATAACTGAGGTGGTGAATTAACCTAAATTGACATGGCAATTTTTTCGGAACCAGGCCAATTGGACTTAAATGCAGTTCTGGGAAAAGTGGACCTACAAAAGGACCTTTTACTCTGCCTGACTCTAATTCCTTTGTCAGTTTTTGGGACACTATATCTGGAGAATCGTCACATGACTTTAAGTTGGATGGTGCTGAAGCTGACATTTGACCTTTGAAACCTAACTTAAAACCATTGGAGAAACCTTGAATTAAATATTGAGCTAGAGGGTAACCATGAAGAAGTGGGGCAAGAACTGATATTTTTATGGGAGTAACTGGAGTAAATGCCGGGCCATTATTTGGTTGGTCTGGAGGTTGTGTTGGATTGGGAGAGTGCTTTATATGCTGTTTCCTTGTTGGGGAACTTGCATTGATATGCTGGATGGGATCCCTTGCAGAACCCACATAAGTGTGGATGGTTGCAGGAGGTGTTATGACACTGACTACGTTTATTGTAGTTCCAACATGTTTTTTCAAGGAAACGTCTTGGCCTGCTGTAGTTGTTACTACGTGTTGTATTGTGTTGGGCTCGAAAGGACTGGGGTTGTGGTATGGAAGTACTAGCCATTAACCAGAATTCAGTATGAATTCGATTCCAGGGAAGAGCAAGCGACTCCCGCAACATTCGAAATTGCGTGTCATAGTATAAAAATGCAAAGCCTGGACGTCGTCGAGCTAAATCTCGGACGATCTCCATATATTTAAGCAATTGCTGGGCTTCTAGTGGGAACCGTTGCAAGTATACTGCCATAAAACGTATAAATGCAGTTGTCCATACTTCAATGTTTTGTATTCTTTTTGATTTGGATGTAGGGTTTATTGTGAAATTGGAGCGATTATCTACTTGTAAAGTGTAATGTGTAGGTTGAGGGTTTAAAGAGGACGGTAGGAGGTCTGCCATATCGACATACTTGTTTCTCCAAATAGCTTTACAGGTAGCCCTCTTAATTTGATTCAGGATAGGAGTGCTGATTGGCTCCGCAAACTGAATGCCATTACCTGATAAAATTGCATGTGAATGATGTGAAATAGCATCTTGAAAAGACGGAACAAACGGGACGTCATCTTCATCCGAATCCGAATCACTGGATTGCATGTCTGACATTGCTGACGATAAATGCGGAATTGGATTGCCGGGAGAATAATTAGGCGCATCTGACGTAGACGGATTTGGAAAGTCATATTGACACGTACTAGCCATTGATTGAGAATTCATAGCAGGAAGTGTATGCGACACGCCATGATGGCTCTCAGTACTAGCATCTGTGGTGTTATTTCCCATCTGTTGTGTTACTTGATCTGGTGTAGGAGATGGTATCCCCAAAGAGCTCTGTTGTACAGGAGTTGTGGAAACCCCAACTTTCGGGCGTTTAGTTTTCTTCCGCGAAGAATCCTTGGTTGTGTTTGCTGCGCCACAAGTACATGAACATGGGGCATTCACTCCCTTTCTCCTATTAGGAGGTTTCATCTGAAAAGAATGAAATATGACTGTCAGAAATCAAATAAATGGAAAACACAACCTTATATATGCAAACAGCCTAACAACCTCCATTGTAAAATAAGACTCATAATTTGATGTGTGAGGTAATTGTAAACATAAGCTGACGGCTATAATATTAAGCCTACAAATATGACTGGTAACTAAACCATGTTCGTATAATGAGTGTCAATCGTAAACTAATGCGCACCAACTTGGGCTGCAAACTAAACAATGTATAAACATGTATAATATGTGTGAACTTTAAACTAAAGCACACAAACATGGACTGTAAACTAAGCCATGTATATATTATGTGTGAAAAATCACACAGACATGGACTATAAACTAAACCATGTAAATTAAGTGTGTGAACTGGAAACTAAATCATACAAACATGGATTAAGACTAAATTCTGGAAACAAAGTGATCCCTCGGAAGCATTAATCACAACAAAATAACATAAGAATTGCAGACTCGGTTTGATTGAGTCTGTACATGAGGGATAATGAATAAGTGCAACATCCCTCACGCCCCCTAGCACCGGCTTGAGCGGTACTCAATTCTCAACACTTCATAGTGTTGGCATCAATGATCCCGAAGGACCAGAAAATATAACAACACTGAAGTGAAGTACGGGGCAACTTTTTACGGCTGCCACACGGCACTTGACACCTGCTGTTGTGAAGTACAAAATTCTGGAAACAAAGTGATCCCTCGGAAGCATTAATCACAACAAAATAACATAAGAATTGCAGACTCGGTTTGATTGAGTCTGTACATGAACCATGAAAATATTATGTGTGTGAACTAAAAACGGACTCACACAGACATAAACTTTAAATTGAACCAGTATTTATAATGCATGCATGTGTTATTGCATGTGATTATTGGAATAAGTTTGAAAGCATAAAATTTAAAATTAATGCGCCATACCCTGGCAACATTATTAATGTGTTTGAAGGAAGCACCAGTTTTTCCCATACTGCATACAGTACGAATATCCTTCTGTAAGTGTTATCAGAATCTGTCAATTAGGTGGCATGACACATAGATATGTACTAAGTTATTAAAACCAAATCAAATTATTTGTATAGGAAAATGTAACCCTTGTCACAACAAAACTATATACTAAATGTTGGCAAACATGTTGCCTGAAAAAATGACTCATAAGTCATTGAAATAGTAACCATAGAGATTTAGATATGTATGCTTGAAGCAAGTAAGCCGGAGTTAATAGAAAATTGTCCACCCTTACAGGGTTGATTTGAAAAGTAGTGATAAGTATTACATATAATGAACTAATTGACGACCACCTATGTGGTGACTACTATAATGAAAATATTAGCTTTAACTATGGCATGATAAAAGACATGATATAAAAATACATATCTTATGCATTGGCATTGCAGATGGAACGTTTCAGGGCGGCGACCACAGCTGCTCTTATATTATTTATGAGGCGGAGCTGACCAGCGTTAGACAAGTGACATCCATCTGATGAGAAATTTTGATGTTTACAGGCTGATGACCAAAATCCCTTCATACGCCATAAATATGATCTATTGTGTTCTTGTTTGTTCAGGTTTTCCATCAATAGAGAATTGAGTTCATCGACACGAACATTAAACCAGTCAACATCTACTGGATATCTAGTATGAACTGATGGAGAAAGTCTGTGCAGGACTTGTAACACTATAACTTTCTGAACTTGTGCCACAAACAAAAGGGTGTCCACCAGGTCAACGATGCTATGTGCGACTGATCGAGGAGAAATATCTGGCCTGTATATATCGTTTGTGCCGATAACCAAAACAACTATGTCGGGATTGAAATCGTAAACAACCTCTAGGCGTTGTCGAAGTATTGACACTGTAGCGCCCGAATATCCGGAATATTGAACCATTGCCTTGCCATGTAGGTTCAAATCATATCGCTGCGTACTATCTCCTCGAATGAATTCCCTTAGTCTTTTCACAAATGAGTGTCCAAATATTTGTATTTTAGGCGCAGTGATTTCAGCCATGATGGTTGTATAACAATGAAAAATTCCTTTGTTTACAGCTCGCGTGAAAATCTGCCACTTTACACTGGAAATGGAGACAAAAACGGGGTCGCCGCCCCAACAATTAACGTCCAACAACTTCTAATAACAATAAACTAATATATTGCGATAATGTTTCACCTTGAAACAAAGATACTAATGTAAAATCTTGAGAATTTCGTTGAAAAAATTGGCGAGAACTTCTCCTTCGCCATAAAATATTCGCTATGAAAGCTTACGAGCCCTGATTGGTTCGAAAGCATCACGTGATCTTAAGTCACGACCTCATTGGCTAAAAAGTTAATTTATGTAGAAAGCTAAAAACTGATGTTGACCGTAACAATTTAGTAATAGGGAAAATTTGTAATCAAGAGAAAAAGGGGGCCAACGACATAAATTATTTTATGTGTTCATAAAATCTTATATATGTTACCCAAAGGCGGACAGATATTGCGATATGTTCTCTTTACAATTAAATATTAAATTGAATACGAAGGTCTATTTGTCTTAATTTGTTAAAACATGTAAAACACAGGTCAGAACTTGCAAAATTAAAATTAAGTTCCCACAGGCTAGAAATTGAATTTGGAAGGCTTATGGGTATAAAAAGGAGTAAAAGAAAATGCACAAATGTACGTAAAATCCAAATTTACAAAAGGAAATATTTAACCATTCGAGTATATTTAAAAAAGATGTGATGGGCTAAAATCTTGCAATAAAACAATAAAAACATTTCTATCCCATAAGACCAAGAATGATGACTTAATTCTTTTATTATTTTCAAATCAGAAAACTGATAATCTATAATCAACCCAGAAAACTGTTGCAGAAAAACTCCTTTTACAAAGAAACACAACATGTATCACATACATATCACAAAGTAAATATTATATCATATATGATATTACAAATTGTCTGATTTTAATGTTTCAACAGAATTATCTATGTGTCATATTTCTTGATTTTTTTACAAGATTTTATTTCAAAAGGCATACACATTTTACGATGTCCCTCGCCACAAAAAAATGACGATTACAAAAAGTAAATGAAAAAAGTATGTAGTAAACTGAATATACAAATTATTTATACAACTACATTTTTATAATCAAAAAGCACCACAAATACATTGTATTACATGTTTGAAATATTAGCATGCTATTATATACTTCAATACATGTTTGAAATAATAGCATGCTATATATAAACAAAATCAATATATGGAAAAAACCATATCCCTTATACATTTGCGAAGCTATTAACATTTCCATGCTTAGAACTTTTCATTAAAACTATAAACTTATAAAGTGTAGGCCAGGGGCAATACTATTTTGGTAAATATACATTACTTAAATTCTATATGAAATGGGCAAACCAGTAAAAATGATATTCTGTTTCAATCTTATTCATGTTACACTATAGAAAAACTGTGTGATCTTTGTCAATATTCCTAAATCTATTGTACCTTCCTTCTTCTATGATAAGGCTATGTGCTGAGCATCTAAATCTAAATCATGACAAAGCTTTTCTAATCTTTAGAATTTTTCGAAAGAAAGGTATTTTTCAAATTCAAAATTATCGTTTATAATCTTATACGTCTCATTTTTTAAATTATATATGGATGATGGTTTTAACATTAGCATATTGATTCTTTCTTTCATTCATCATAACAATTTGTACGTAAGAACATCAGGCTCTTTAACTATTTTATACCGATATTTTACAACAAATATTTTCAATATTTCATTTCATTTATTGGCAAATCGGCAAATAAACATTAACTTTGGCCACTTACAGAGAATAATGCCAAATATGGCCAAAAGTTTAACATATACAAAATTATATTACACAATATATAACAAAAAGAATACAAGAATCAAACTAAGAAGCACTTATACTAGTATATTCAAGAGACTGCTGCCTCAACTTAAATGCATTATGAACAAAGTGAGCACATTTAAGAATAAGCTTTTTATTATTAGTGGACAATACAGTTAAAAAATTTGTACAGAAAGCCATGAATTGTTTCTAACATATTTGGTTCTTATAACAATATAAACTGGACAACATAAAGGGAAGTGGTATTCTGATTCAATTGAATTATATATACATAATTTACATTTGCGATCATTTTTATCAATGTTCAAAAATCTTTTAGTTTCTATTTCTAAGTTATGAGAGTTCTTTTCTTAACACATTGTTTTGTTAAACATCAGGATATATTTCATAACAAAAAGAAGTTTTAAATTTTCTATAATAATCAAGCTTGGGCATATCATGTATAGAAGTATTCCAGCTCTGTATATATATTTGTCACGCAGACGCTGCTTTAAGATGGGAAGATAATTAAAATTTAAGTTGAAGTTACGCCATATATGATTACAACCTTAGATTTCTAACAAGCGTTTATACTGCTTGCCCGGTTACAATCAGTTTTTCTATTGCACTGTTCGACAAGAACAAGTACTTTGTTTCACGCCTGATTTAAATTTACAGAATTTAAGATTTTATCGTTCTATATCTTTTAATTTTGAAAATCCCCAAACAGCAGTAGAATAACTGAGAAATGAACCAACAAACGAGTAAAATTCTGCAACGAAATGCTAGGGGTTATCTCATATTTATTTATGCTCTTTAATAACACCGACATTGCCTTTAAAACATTTGCCAATTACGTATTGATTATTGAGTGTAAAAGTACGTATTGATTAAAGAGCCATTGTAATTAAAAACTACGCCTATATAGTTAAAATTTTCAGCGGTTTCAAATAGAATATCATTCTTTGTTACAATTGCTATAAACATTACAATTCGAATAATGCTTAAGATATGGATCAGCAGTACTTTGAATAAGCGCAGAAAAAGAATCAACCATTTGATCAATATTATAATAACTGATATTATCAGTGTTTATTTGAGACAAAATTTCAATAATTTGCGGTAGCTTAGCGACAATATCCTTTCTAAATGCAGATTTATGCACAGCATCCCGCTTATAATGTAGCGTTGTTTCAAAATTGCTATCACAGTTTTGCTCAATTTGCTTACTGTTTACTTTTAGTGGGAACGTAATCGGCGCGTGATCACTATACAGATAAAACGGTAAGACACTGAGGAAAATCTCGTGCAGACTATCGTTACCGATTCTACCGTTAGCAATCGTTAATGGTTGCAAACTTCTGTATTTATCTATTTTCGAGCATTTGTGTACCACGTGAGTTACATATTTTATCGGAAGAGGCCTGTCCCAACGAAACATCTGGGGTATTATTATCATAATCTAGACCATAAACGCATGTATCAAAAGAAATGTAATCGTATTTATTTCCTACCCTACAGTTCCAATCGACTATTAGCATGACCATACGGAAATATTCGAAGTATGCAATATCATTTAGCAAAATATCAAGCAAATTATCCTGATAAAATTGAGTAGTGGATGACTCTTCTGGCCATAAGTATAAAACACACAAATAAACATCATCATTTGAACAAAACAACTTTCATCTAACTTTAACCACAAAAAAATTTCATAGTTTTTTTTACAATTTTTAATCCACCTTTAATCAAATTACTTATATAGATTATAATACTACCTCTATCAGATATAGGCATTGAAGATGACAGTTTTACACAAGAGGTAACCGATGCATATATTGACTGTAGCATAGATAACATCTTACAACTAATATCAACTTTCAAAAGCTTTAAAATCATTAGCAAAGGTACCCTTATAAAATCACTATAGATAGTAGCATTTGATGTTTGCTGTCTTACACCCAGTTGTTGCTCCAAAACCTATGAGCACGTTTTATATCTGGTGCATTATGCTAACCCCATACTTCAAAGCCATAACTGAAATTAGGCTAACCATATAATCAAACAATTCTAATTATTCTGATATTTCTAGCGACAGGTGAATATGTGCATGCATTTAAATTAATAACAGCTGATTTTGATTTTTATTTGTTATACTTATTTTATAAGTTTTGAGGGTTTTTGTTGTTGTTATTTGGTTGTTCTTTGTTGTTGTTATTCTTTTTCGAAAACTAAAACAGAAAGCCATAATCAGACTAGATAAAAAAGATAAAAGTATAATAAAAAAATAATAAAATGTTTGCCCACGGAAGGGTTAGTACCCCCGCTCATATAAATCCAGTTTTTTTTTTGTCATGCTATACATTCAGATAAAAGGCACTAACTACCAAGACACTAAGAATTTTAAAAACGAGCCCTAATGCGATCAGCATGAAACTTTTTGAAATATAATATATCACCATGATTAAATCTGCCATTGAAAACACCGTTTAATCAAATTAACAGAAATACAGATGGATTGACTGCCTTTAACTTTTTGTGCCCCCACGTTAGTGGCGGGCATTTAGATTTACCCTTGTCCGTCCGTCCGTCCTTCCGTCCGTCCGTCCGTCCGTTCACTTTTGTGTCGCACGTAACCCAAAAAGTATTTGACCTAGAGTCATGAAACTTTACAGGAATGTTGATCAGCATGTGTAGTTGTGCACCTGGGTATTTTCGTCTGGATATTTTTAGTATTTTCAGAGTTATTGCCCTTGACTTAGTTAAATTTTGCAATTTTCAACTTGTGTCGCATGTAACTCAAAAAGTATTTGACCTAGAGTCATGAAACTTTACAGGAATGTTGATCAGCATGTGTAGTTGTGCACCTGGGTATTTTCGTCTGGATATTTTAAGTATTTTCAGAGTTATTGCCCTTGACTTAGTAAAATTTTGCAATTTTCAACTTGTGTCGCATGTAACTCAAAAAGTATTTGACCTAGATCCATTAAACTTTACAGGAATGTTGATCAGCATGTGTAGTTGTGCACCTGGGTATTTTCGTTTGGAAATTTTCATTATTTTCAGAGTTATTGCCCTTGACTTAGTAAAATTTTGCAATTTTCAACTTGTGTCGCATGTAACTCAAAAAGTATTTGACCTAGAGTCATGAAACTTTACAGGAATGTTGATCAGCATGTGTACTTGTACACCTGGGTATTTTCGTCTGGATATATTTAGTATTTTCAGAGTTATTGCCCTTGACTTAGTAAAATTTTGCAATTTTCAACTTGTGTCGCAGGTAACTCAAAAAGTATTTGACCTAGAGTCATGAAACTTTACAGGAATGTTGATCAGCATGTGTAGTTGTGCACCTGGGTATTTTCGTCTGGATATTTTTAGTATTTACAGAGTTATTGCCCATGACTTAGTAAAATTTTGCAATTTTCAACATGTGTCGCAGGTTACTCAAAAAGTATTTGACCTAGAGTCATGTAATTTTACAGGAATATTGATTAGCATGTGCAGTTGTGCACCAGGTATTTTCGTCTGGATTTATTTAGTATTTTTAG